CTTGGTTGACTTTCTTAGTTAGATTCAGATACACATTAAGGAGGTCATTCCACTTTCCGATTCGCAGTATTGAGGAAAACGAAAGAGAAAACGTTCTGATCTTTGTGAGGTACACATCCCAGAGCCGTATATGCGAAGATAGACGGATGCTAATGGTTATCCGGTGGAGGTACAGCGTAACATGCCCCAAGCTGGGTCCCTGACTCATCGATGGACAACCAGTTCGACCCCCAGCAACTTGGTTTCCTTGATGCACAATGGAGGACGAAAAAAGTGAGTTCAGCGTGAGTTGTGGGTAAGTTCGTGAGATGTGAAAATATACGCTCGCGAAGGCAAACAAATGCTTGAGGTGCAGAGGTGTGGGATCCGGAGGCGGATCGAGGCAGGTTCCACTTTTCTGAAAAAAGTCTGCCCGAGGCTTTCTTTACAAGTATTTGTACCGCAGTCAAATCAAAACCAGAGTGCGTGAAATCAGCTTCATTTTGCAGATGATCAATCATGATCTCGAGATTTTATTTCACTCGAAAGACTGTTATTCACTTGCATCTCTAAGCTTGATCTCATCTGATGCAGCTAGTTGGCTTCATTGACTAAGCATGCTCGCTTTATTAATCTCCCATGCGGGCGTGTGTTGGTATGATAAATGGCTTGATTTGCTTCGCTCTACATGACAGTGTTCGCATCGTCCTGAACGTCGATACTGTGCTATTAACCGAAATTGATGGTATACTTCGCTTGGAAGTTGCTGGGATTGTACAATCCCCAGCTCCGCTCTAGACCAGCAGGCTTCAGATTCTCGTCAAACATTGCAAATATGTAAGCCTGGATTTCCAAGTTGGGCTTTAGAGGCGTTCCTCCGCTAGCTAAGCTCACCAGATTTTGGTTGTGAATCCGAGCGTTGTTCGTATCGGTGGCAGTGCCTCCTGAAGTGGGCCAGCCGATCTCCCCAACGACCACGCGCATATTTCCCTGCCCCAATCTCCCCAGAGCTGCATAAACTGCGTCCAGTTGCTGTGCGAGAAGATTCGTATATATCTTGCCATTGTTTGAATCTGTGACGGAGCCAGATCCAAGACGGCCATATTGCAAAGTGATTTGCACATTGGAGTATATGTATGTGAAGTAAGGGTAGATGTTGCAGATGAAGTCCGATCCTACCGAGGCCAGCCAGTTCACCAAGGGCTGCATCCTTCCGGTGTCAACGAACTGGCCATTGGATGGGGGGAAGCTGTTCGTGACGACGTCGAAAGCGTGAGCTGTTGTTACCTTGATCCCACTCTTACCTGCCTGATTTAGCGCCTCTCTCAGATTCTTCATTGAAGACAGCAGTGCGTTTTTCACGTTGTCCGCCGTCGAAGTGAATACTTCGTTTCCCACCATCACAGCGACGATGTTACTGAAGCTATAGGGGACGATGTTGCTGTTGACCCAGGTTCTGGCAGAGCCCACACTTCATAAGGCACTGACGAAATCTGCGTTCGTTATGCCCAACGGTGAGTTGAATGCCGCTGTTGGAGAACGCTTGGAGTGTGCCCTGGTAGGTGTGGTAGAGGCGGACGTGGGTGATGCCCAGGTCTCGGAACTTCTGAACGACCTGGGTCCTGCTCGGGATATTCGACCCATCTTCCCCAAAACAAATCCCTGTCCAAGCGTCTGCCATAAAATCACGGGAAAATCAGAACTGTAGCTGGCATCAACGTTCACCTTGAAAACAATTCAGCTGAAACTTTGAATGCATTGTATCACTTAAGCTTCAAGTTTATCCAAGTGTTGAATCGATTTTTCACATTCTAGTTACTTGAACTATGATTTTAGTTGAATAAACTTCACTTATGCTAAAAAAAGTTCCAAATTTTTTGAAATCTATTCTATTAAACATGTCAAGCACATGTGGAATGTGCTTGACATGCTCTTATTTAATCATAGCTTTTTATTTCTCAAATTTTCATAAATATCCATACATAATTTTATTTTTAATTTACTCAAATATAAGTCAATTTAACTAAAAAATGTATATTTAGCTAAATTGACTTATTGCATTTGCAATGTTGGATTGATTATTTGTCAAAATGAACATGTTATCCATACAAATTATTGAGATAATGGAATTCAATATCTCATTATTCATCTTTTTATGTAACATGTTTCATATATAATTAGTGAAAGTTTTTGAGTTTTCATGAACTCATCAAATATTGTATTCTACTATTTAGGATTTTTTTTCATCATTAAAATAATCTCAATAATCTACATATCAACTTCTATTAATCTTTTGTCTTGAAACCAAGTGATTAGATTATGTGGACTTCACCTCTAAAGTTCCATAGAAACTTGTTATTACTCTATATATGTTATTTAATAAAATGCTAAATATTATATCAAGTGCAGAAATCATTCGAATGCATATCTCTGCAAAAAAAAAACATTGTAACCCATACGTGTTTTTTGGTGTAAAATCTCTTACCACCAAATTGGATTCAAAAATGTCCTTGCTAGATTACACTTCAAATTATACTTGTACATCCAATTGCTGTCAATCAAATTGTTTTTAAAACTTTCATTAACTTTCACTTTATGTTATCAATCAATAATATATTTCATGCCTCATATCAATATTTTACTTCATTGTATAGATAGAAAATTTATCTCTTTTCAGATCAATTCATTGTCATCATCATCTTTGATCTCAATAAATTTTTTCCTTAAAATTTATGAATGAGACCATATTTCATATATTAAAAAAACTCTACTCATCTAATTTGATGATAATTCTAGTTAAAAAAAATTGTATTTTTCACAAAATAATTTTGAGTCTCATGAAAAAACCTGCTACTCAAGTTTTAGTTTTTGGGTGATTTGCTTATCTACACCAGAGCTTCCCGTCATATTATTAATCTAAAATTGTCAATATTTTACGTAATGACATCCTTGAGTGAAGACTGATCCTTGCCTATACGATAAATTGAAAAAATCTTCATTTCTTTCAGTGATCTCAATCCATCCCTAACGTTTTAAACCACTAAAATATCTAAGAAAATGAAACGTCTTGAATGTAAGCTTCTTGATTCTAATCTACTTGGATATTTAGAGTATAAATCGTAGGATTAAAATTTTTAAAAGTATTTAAATTAGTTCATTATTTACGATTCAATTCAAAATGTCTAAAAGAATGATTTTATTTGAAGAAACAATATTTATCATATACATAATGGTTATGAAAATTAAGTCTAAAATTTGTATGAAAAGTAAAATCTGTTGAACGTACCGTGCAAATTCTCCATCATTATTTGCTTGAATATTGAGGACTAATGATTTTTTCTGAGTATAAACCATGATGAAATAACGAGTGATCTTTTATCTTTGCAAAAACCTTTAAACTATTCAGAATATGATTACAATAGTTATCTCTATATAAACTTGTAAATCTATCTTTAGTCTAAATCTCAACTTGGACTTTTTCAACTTTAAAAAAAATATGATGATTCAATAATTTTGTTTGAAACAATAAATTCACATATAATTTGAGTTTCATTGATAAATTATACAGAATAATATTTCTCGGAACAGTGAGATCTGAGATAATCATTTCCAAATTTAATCATTAGAATTTAAAAAACTTTTATTTGATGATTGTTTAGGAATCGTAAGTCAGTTGTACCAATGACAGGTAACAATTTCTAATTCTCAAGGAGTATCAAATACCTATTAGTGATGTGTCATAGCCTATGGCATTATATTTGAATCTTCTTAACTCAAGATTTGCGCGACTTAGTGTCACCTCCCTAACTTGGATTAAATTTAGTTAACTTGTGAGAACTGATAACTCACTCTATATTATAAAGAGAAGATTCATTTTCAACCAGAGCGGTTGGGAAATTAGAATAATAAATACGAACTTAGAAATCTAAAAAGTAACCGCGGTCTTTTCAAGGTTTCCTAGTGTGAGATTTCAATTCATTTTGAGATTACATTACCAATCCTCCCCAATGCATTATGTAATCCATACCATCTTTCAAATCAAGTTGTGTCATTAATTCATGTTGTTCTCTATTAGTTATCTGCATAAGATTCCATTACAAAATCAGCTGTTAGAGCTATCAGAGAAAATTACCTGACGGGATCCTTCCGGAACCCAAAACACTTGTTGAGGCCGAACAAAATTCATTTCACTCGATTTGAACCCTCCGAAGGCCCTTCAACCCACCTTCATCCGTGTTCCCAAACAACCTTTTGTGATTTCAAAAGTGCCGTTCTATCTGTTCACACTTTGAACAGAATGATACTTTTAGTCGGGAATGTTAGCAAAATTCCACTATTCCGAGAAGGTTTGGAGCATTGACATGTGGCAAGTAAATATTTCTAGTTTACTATAGTAACTCCCTAGTATCATCTGGCAATGTTTTATGAGCCCAAAGAATGAAACAACTCGAATTGCCTCGTTGTTCTTACACAAGTGGTTACAGTAGATTGTCTTTTCCGGAACCATCATATCATGATCTATAGTTGAGTGAAAGAATGTACTTGAAAAACATGGATATTAGATCCGTAGGCAAAGCAATTACAAGAACTCCTAGGTGAAGGTGGGTTGTAGTTTCGTGAGGCGTACCTTCGGATAAAATGAATCAAGTTGAGTACCAACATGAGTTTTGAGTTCTGCATTTTTCTCGAGCTACCACTTACAATGCGATGATAAGAGGGCTTATAGCGAGACATTAACCGAGGCGTCGGTATTCATTCCTTCTTGCGGGCTAAGGAATAACTGGAGCATCATTAGTTACAGCTCGAGTTGCTTCAGTGATGTGCAACTAGTTCCTTGAACTATTTTCTGAAGGTTATAATCTTCAGAAATACTAAATGTACTCCACGGCCTGATAGAAGATCTAGTTGAAGTTTTGAGACCACATTGACCTGGAATCTGTCGAAACATATAACTTTGTTTACAAAAATGTTGAAAAATAAAAATAACAAGAAAGAAGCTCGCAATGTGCAATCTGGAACCCGTCAATTCTTCAGAAGAGCATAAGCTGTATGTAGGTGAAACTGATATGGCGCACAGGATGAGTTTATATCAATGAACGCGGAAGTGAGTACAGAATTTATCCCTCTATAGAAGATGAAAACCTCGGAGATAGTACATGCAGTCCTAGATCGTAGCTGCTTCAGTACAATTGTTACATATACAGTCTTGATCGATAATCAGGTGCTAGGAGATTTTGGAAGCGGTAGGTCATTAGACGGAGGTACTGTATGGAACCCCCATGCCCGTCATGCCAGCCTTGGATTTGGGGAGGAGAAGTGTATATTCCAACTTGCTATAGCCGATTCTGTTGCTCCATGGCAACAACAGGGCCGCCTTGTTTTGCGCTTCGATCTCCTTCTCCAGTGCATTAACGCCGCGCCTGAACTTCTTGAACTTCCTCTGTAAATCCTTCTCGGGGTCTTTAGCGCGATGTTCCCGATGTTCACCGCCATCTTCAGGCCGATGTTCCCGATGTTCCCAATGTTCACCGCCATCTTTAGCGCGATGTTCCCGATGTTCACCGCCATCTTTAGCGCGATGTTCCCGATGTTCACCGCCATCTTTAGCGCGATGTTCCCGATGTTCACCGCCATCTTTAGCGCGATGTTCCCGATGTTCACCGCCATCTTTAGCGCGATGTTCCCGATGTTCCCAATGTTCACCGCCATCTTCAGGCCGATGTTCCCAATGTTCACCGCCATCTTTAGCGCGATGTTCCCGATGTTCACCGCCATCTTTAGCGCGATGTTCCCGATGTTCACCGCCATCTTTAGCGCGATGTTCCCGATGTTCACCGCCATCTTTAGCGCGATGTTCCCGATGTTCACCGCCATCTTTAGCGCGATGTTCCCGATGTTCACCGCCATCTTCAGGCCGATGTTCCCCATGTTCACCGCCATCTTTAGCGCGATGTTCCCGATGTTCACCGCCATCTTTAGCGCGATGTTCCCGATGTTCACCGCCATCTTCAGGCCGATGTTCCCGATGTTCCCAATGTTCACCGCCATCTTCAGGCCGATGTTCCCAATTTTCACCGCCATCTTCAGGCCGATGTTCCCAATCTTCACCGCCATCTTTAGCGCCATGTTCCAAATCTTTAGCATCTTCTCCATTTTCTTGAATCAGACCTTTGTTCTTTCCATGGGCATTAAATGTCCACTCGTCTTCGCCTAAGTACTGCTCCTCTTCAGAGTGGGTGGACAAGGCCTTCAGGATGGTCATCACCTGCAAGGTCTGACTGGGAGTGGCTATGGTGTCCAGTACTTGCATTCTCCCGGCCTTTGCGGTCATCTTCTCGGAGGGGATGAGTTTACGGGTCATGGATGATCTCTGTATCACGTAGCCGGCGTAATCGTACTGGCCGAAGTTCACTGCAGCGTGATGCGGGCCTGCTATCCAAAAGATCGTGGTGAGAATTTCTATGAGGCTTTCGACGCAGTCCAGCTCCGGCCACCCCTCCTTGATGTCGGGATGACCCTTCGTTCTCAGCTCGGTCCACCAATTCTGCAGCGCTTGGTCATTCTGTGGGTCGTTGAGCACATCGGCCGACGATTTGTAAAATATATGCACGTAATCCCTGACCCATTTGTTAATCACTTTCCACATTTTCAAAGCATCCTGCGCGAACGGGTAGTCCTCGATTACCAGCACAACGTCGTTTGGTTTCTTCTTATTTGGTAATGTTGCCATTCCTCTGCACCATCACCAAGGAATGCAGGGGATGCATTAGCAGGCATCAGTGCCATTCAAATGGTACACAAAGTCAAGGATCCTGAGAAAGCCAAAGCAGAACCAGACTATACAGCACTCGACAAGAAGATAGTGATCTGAGCATAAAATGGACTGGAAATGTGTCTGATCGCACCTTTCGACTAGATTTTTGGGAAGTGCTTGCATGTCGAAACGCCATGTCTTGTAAGCACCAGAGCTGATTTTCATGCTGTATTCTCCAGCGGTGAAGTCGTTGGGGATTATGCCGATCTTGTTGATCAGGATCTGACGAGCGTTTCTGTTGATATCAAACGTGTTCCTGAAGGTGGGTTCCAACAGTTTCCCGATGGGATGCACGCTGGAGAGCAGGGTCCTTTTAGTGGCGATGATGATTGGCTCCATCACTGCGTGACTGTACAGCCTGAAGCACGGTCGTGAAGTGGTAAATACGGTTTATGTCAGTGAACAGCTTTCATATCCAAGACCACTTCTCGACTCACGCAATCAAACTCGACGTCCTCAAATTGGGACGTAAAGTGGTAAGAGGGGATACCGGAAATCATTTAGCCATCGGCACACTTACCAATGACTGACGAGCTCATGGAATGAAAAGTCCAGAGAAATGAAGTGGATCTTGGCGAGCTCCCACGAAAAGTCGAGCAGCGGCTCATCGGCCGGATCTGACGAACCTCCCTTATCTTTAGAGATCGGCTGCACCTCTTGTGGGGCAACCACAGGAGGGGTGAAAACACGGTGTAATGTGCAATGCTGGTCTCCACTATCTTTAGGTAGAGATAGCTCGATGGCGATGGGGATCAATTTGCCTGGAGGCTTCTTGTAGAAAAAGACAGCACGTCCTGCGTACGTCTTTCTACCCGAGATTTGGTTAATCTCTCCCACGTGGGCCTTGAAGGCGTCGTGGTAATCGATTATATAAAGCTTGTTTTCTTCGATCGCCTGCAGTGAATACAAATCTCTTAGTTCCTGACGACGTTTAGTTGTGATTGTTATGCTTCTTACAATTTCTCTCTCTGACCACATAGCACTGCATCATAGCTATGAAACTCTCCACGCACCTGCTCCAATGTGAATTGCTTTGACTTCAGATACTGCTCAACAGCATGCTGAAGGTCAGTAATCTTCTTTCCGGTATCACTCGGAGGAAAGGTCTGTATTCGTGGACAATCCAGAGCAGGGTCTGATGTTAGAAGCCATGAAGTGACAAGATATATGTAGTCGTGCAATAAAAGATTAAACAATATTTGACAACTGTATTTGATCATAAAACCTGAGCCATAGAGCAAATAAATGCATCCTCTTTACATGAGGAGGAGCCAGCTCCATTGAAGCTGAGCTGCAGCTCAGGATTTTCAAGACGCTTGCTCGTTTCTGGTCTGAAAGGAGCAAGAAAAGCGTAGTAGTTCGGTTCTGCATTACGGACATTTCAATCGAGTCATAAGCCTCATGTTTCCAGTTTTAACTCGCACCTTCAAACGCGTAATGACGGCCGGGTTCATGCCCGCCAGAGCTTGCCGCCCGAACTCGTCGTCGTTCATCAGAACGTCATACCAAGTGCCTCCGACTCCGGGCGTCAAAGCTGCAATTTGCATAAAGAAATGGTCATCGCATGAAATGTAGCTTGAGGACCGCCAACGAGATGGGATACAATCTGAACGTTGCCTGAGCGTTCATTCTTTCACTGACTAGCTCGGCATCATTCGTAATTCTTAAGCATATCTGCTTTACGTGCCAAGGCGTGTTTGAACTCCGAGAGAATGAGGACAGAAACTTACTTAGCACAGATCTCGGCTTCGGAAGATCAATGGCTTGCAGTAATCCCTTGAATACGTTGATGAATTTCTCCAGAAAGACGATAAAAGGATTCTTGCTGAATATCGACTGATGGAATACGTCGAGGAAAACGTCCAGCACTTTGTGGGCTTCGAGGCACTTGATCGTAGTTTCAAACCGATTATCCATTCCAGCAATCTCGAGGATGCTGCCGAAAGTCGTCTTGGGATCTTCCACTTGCGTTCCATCAAAATACAACTCTGTGACTTTGTCAAGAAGTGTGTGGATGAATGTCTGCAACACAGTGTTTCCATGTCCAGTGGTGCTGACACCTGAACGTGTTCGTGTAGTCAAGTTAGTAGTCTATAGCCGACATCGTACGTAGAGACGGAAAGCGTCCGAAACTAAATGTGTACGTTGATCATCTCGTCTGCCTTCTGAACTTATGGAGGCCCTATGACTAAGTCCACGCGTCTAATTTCTGTAACCAACAACTTAAAAATGGTAGGAGACGAGAAAACCATCTTACTCGGCTCGACAATTGTACCCTCCTTGAGGCGACGAGGGTATGGAAATGGAGAGCCACCCAAAATGAAATCGAATCCCAAGTCATTATAAACATCGAACTCGTAAATTAAGTCGTCTACAAACTGTGTCGCGTCGTCTTCTAGGGGTTTTACTTCTCGACGCAAGTCTCCACGCAGTCGATGGAGCTCGTGGTCTATCAGTTTCTTGAGGGTTTCGTGGGAAAAAACCGCCTGTGGAAAGACAGGCATGAATAAGGATTCGCATAATCATTATCACAGTGCGAAATATTGAGAGGGATCCATCGAGCTGCTCGAAATATCGAGTTTAGAAATATAAGAGTGACTCTAAAGCTCACAATTCTATTCTTGTTCCTACCCTTTCTTTCTTTAATTATCAAGGTACTGGAGAACACGGTGCAGAGGTATGAATGGAGAGAATAAACATTCTAATCGATATTTTGTTCAGATGACTAAATCTCACCCTATGATGAAAGAACACCCGGAAGTCGTTCTCGGGGTCGACTGTGGGGTGAACCTGACTGTCACACTCGAACACCCAGTCCCAGTCGTCTGAATCTGAATCGTCATGGATGTTCTTCGTCCTTTTCAGCTTCACCGAATCTAGGTAGAAATGTTCCTTGTTATTGTTTCTCACAATAATTGCTCCGACTTGGAAATCGTCTGCGAGCTGAGTAAACTCTAGCGAGAAGCTTGGCACCACCACTGGAAACTGATTGTCAAATTCGGCAGCTTGACTCGCCGTTCCATTTGCTGGTGGAGGGTTGACAAGCGTCACCTCGGCACTTTTACTTGGCTCCGTAGAACCTGGATATCTCGTGGAAAAATCAGAATTTTCGTCAGAATCTTTTAATCACAGTCCCACAAGTGTAAAAACTCTACTTGTCCTTCAAACCAGTAGCTGTGCGGAGGATCAGGATACATCATGTCAACCTGTTGACTAGGACCTCATGCCTTCTAAAAAAATTGAACTGGGTGTGTGAAGAAAGATTGTTGAAGATGGGATTCTGAGCTAGAGAAAACAGTCCCAACCGTCGAGTGACAGACAACATGCTCTCATACACCTCGTGGAGTATATCTCTCAGTCAGCTTGGACTCGACATTAAAAATGCAAATTGAAAGAACTGATTCGAGAAGTAGGCTACAATGTAAGAGAAGTTATTACATGTAGCAACGTGCAAATCATAACTTCGTAATAGAATTTATCACCTGGGCTATCGGCATTTGGTGTCAGAGAAACGAGCTGAATGGAAATCTGAGCTGGATTCGTCAGTCCAGCCAGATTGATTTTCATGAGATTCACGTTGACCTGAGCTACGATAGTTAGATCATCACGACTGCGCTCTAGAGAACCCTCCATCTTTGCGTGCAAACTCCAGGAACCACTCTGGAGTGGCTTGTTCTTGGATATCTTCTTCTCGTCGTCCGTCCACCAGTTTATGTCAAGAGAGCTGTAAGCTCAAATCTCAAACTTCCAAGCGAGACGTGGTGAAGGAGAAATAATGTAGCCAATGCTCTGTGAAACAATGCTGCTTTGAAAGCCTGGACGCTTCAGCACTTATAGCTTGAGATTTCAATAGGACGACAGTAAATCTCCGCGTCGTTTTATCAAGTAGTGGATAGTGGCATTCGTAATTACGTTCGTTCTCACTAGACCTGTGCTGATCATTTTCCTATTACTATGTAAGGATGGTTGCAAGGTACACCGAAGTTGAGTTGTAAGCTGACCAATTAAGCCACAACAATGGGCTCATTCTTTCTCCAAAAGTAGAATTCAAATGATAAAATTATTGAGAAATTCGTATTTTTTATTAATTGTTTCTGTTCACCATTCAAACCATAGCATAAATATCTACGGTGCGATAAGGATAAAAAATTCATGTTTCGCGACAAAATCTTCATTCCAACTACAAAGCCATTCCAAGTACATTCCCTGCTTCAAAAGCAGGGATGTACTTACTCGTACCCGAAAAACTGTTCAAATACATTCCTGATACCCAAAACCTTGAAAGCTACTTCCTCATACCTTGGGAGACATGACATGAAGAATCCTCAGTAGACTGTCTAGGTTCTTGTTGGAGTTGAGCCACCTGGTAGCAAAGTATTTTCATCATCGAAACCATTTAATGTGAGTAGGTTAGTAATTAAGTAGCATTGTTGACGAGCTCTAGTTTGTGTTTCACATGCTCTTCTCAGGATTGTTTTCACAAATGCTCAGTGACCCTGACACAGCAGCAGTTACAGTTTGTAAAATCGGCGTTCGACGAATTAAATGATATGTTTTCGCAAAAAGGAAGATTTATTTTGACAAATTTTGGGATATTATGTTAAGAAGAAGATCGTTTCTGCCCCTTTTACATACAAGATGCTACATACTGGTATAGTGCATGTACATTCCTATTCTGTTCCTATGATTCCACATACTTTTGACATGATATTATACCAACATTCACTCACAAAGGAGAAAGTCTTCTATGAAAATCATCACGAAATTGAAGATTCTTTTTCAAGTCGACATTCTAGCTCTATGAACCCATATATCTATTTTGTTTTCTAACATTCTTTCTTGAGTCCACCAATCTTTGTCTACGCATGATGATATACAATATACGAACATGGTGGACAAGAACATGCAAGATTCACATACGCACCCATTTAACTACGCATCCCGGGTAACTACGCATAATTTTACCCCTTAAATGAGGATCAAAATTTATTTAGCTCGAAATGTCACATATTGTCAATTTGTGCAAGTTTTGAAGTTTGTTGTAACTAGAAATCAATTTTTGGTTGATGTTTCCTCATATGATATGAGGAGACTACATTTTGGTAGTAGTAAGAAACTAGCCGGTATGTACCATATTGCATACGTTTTCAGATCATATTGGGCAATAAAATCTGAGAAGCCGTCTAAAGCTTTCATCAATTCATTATCGGATTTGTTGACTTCAATTCCCTTTCCAAGAAAGAGCAACTTTTGCAACCCTCATAGCCTTGTGATTGATTTAGTCAAAATTGATAAACTTAGTACAGTACAATCTTTTTGTGTTGGCGACAATGGTATAGAAATATTGGCATTACACATGCAGTCAATCTAAATGTAAAGCATTTCTTCAAATTCAATAAAACAATAAACAGTATTAAAAAAATATTCTCTATGGGATAATGAGATATTAAGTAATATCTTTTTTAGTATTTGCTCTTGTTTGTCTCAAACTTTTTTTATAACTGCTTCACTAACATTGTTCAACAACTAAAGTGTTTTAACTGAAAATACCTATGTGTCCAATAAAAGTTAGTTTCGGTTGTTCAACTTATATCACATCGCTAAGACTCATTTAGTAATTTAGTTTTAGTTTCTTTAAAATTATAATCAAATCAAAATATTCAGAAGTGATTCATCTCATTAAAATTGTGTTATTTTAAATTATCTGAAGATCTGCCTAGGTCATTTCTACATAATTTTTGTTCCGGTTTTAGACTCTAAAAGATCTCTAAAATTTATATATGAATCTCTCCTAAATTTACAAATTATTGTTGATAGATTTTTTTATGTCTCGTCCGAAGAGAGTATAACGTGGCCTCTATAACTATTGATTCACCAAAACGAATATGTGTGTGTTTATATATATATACTTCGAATTATATAAAATGTTACTAAAATTAATTGAGATCCAGATTTTCGTATCGATTGTCTGTCGATTATCTACTTGTCCTAGGTCGGCTTCTACATACTTCCTAGGCAACGCTTTTTTCATGTTATAATCATGTGTCTGCGAGCCATATAATGTTTATTTAAGTTTAGAACCACCTTATCCTATACCTATATCGGAATGCAAACATGCCTATTGTCAAAATAAGTATCTCAATTCGGATAATTTGAGTACGTCACCCATGCTCAAGTCTGCCACCTTTCGGTTTAGATCAGAAGATCCTACGTACCTCCTACGAAAGGCATTTTTCATGTTATTATCATGAGTCTCCAAGCCATATAAAGTTTACTTGGGTTTAGAACCACCTTATTCTATACCTATATTGGAATGCAAACATGCCTATTGTCAAAATAAGTATCTCAATTCGGATATTTGAGTACGTCACCCATGCTCAAGTCTGCCACCTTTCGGTTTAGATCAGAAGATCCTACATACCTCCTACGAAAGGCATTTTTCATGTTATAATCATGAGTCTCCAAGCCATATAAAGTTTACTTGGGTTTAGAACCATCTTATTCTATACCTATATTGGAATGCAAACATGTCTATTTTCAGAATAAGTACCGCAATTCGGATATTTTGATAACGTCACCCACGCTCATGTCGGCCACCTCTCGGTGTAGATTACAAGATTTTTTTTTGCTTTTTGAGCTGTCCTCTACCCGCATTGCGCTACTCTGCATTACCACAGAGCCTCCCGAAAGGAGCGATACTCTGGGGAACTTCGGGACTCCTGGCTTTCTCATTAATTGTTCGTATTTTTGGGGCTTTACCGTGCCCGCTTATAATCCCGGAAATTCGTGCGGAGATGCGACTCAGACGATATGCATAGACATGGACTCGCCAGAAAACGTGAAAAAAGTGACACGCGTCCGCTCCGCGTGGACGCAACGAGCCAACAGCCAGAGCATGTCGAGAGTTTAGGATTTTAGGATCTATGCTCTATTAAGTTTGGAGGATGGTTTTCTCGTGTACAGTACTGTGATCAAATTTCCCCCAAGTTAGGTGCAACTGCAATCTTCTTCGGGGCTAATTATTCTGCAATAAATTTACGTTATTCCATTGGCAAAGTTGAAGCCAAATGGTTGACCTTGAGTAGAGTCAGTTCCATAAGAGTTATGATATCCTTGCAGCACATAGTACTTTCGGTGGGAGAATCAGCACGGTACTATTGGCCATGAAAAGTTCAAACTTAATACATTAGAATTTTTTTAAATTAATAACTTATGATAATTAATATGTGCGATCCAATCCTAAATATATACTTACTATAAAAATTAAAAAACTGATACTCCATGGACGATCTTGAAATTCTTTTATATTGATAATCAATATAGTAAAATTAGATTTGACACAAATTATTTTATCTAGATAACTAAACCTTGAAAGATTAATCCAAAATTGGCTTCTCACTTGCTAGACCTCATGAATTTGTTAGCATGCTGTAATGTAAAGTTGCAACCATCAGATTTTGCATTGAGTCTCTCAATGTCGTCTTAAACGCAAACTTGATATGGTTAATCTTCACTTCACGTGTTAAAAAAGCTCCTGTGTTCTTTTTTCAGATGGCTTGCCGCTCTTCATTATACATGACTTGAAGTTCCCGAGGACCACCGCACCATCCCTTCCCCGTACACCAGAGCGTTGCCTTCGTCTCCCCTGATCAGATAAGAATCAGTAGCGCTTCCAGCCGTTCCCACTCTTCCAGATAAAGGCCTGGCAGTGGTACAGAACCAGGCTGCAATCGGGCAGCATGGTGAAGGACTAGAGCTGGTATCGGAGACCTTGGACTGGTTGGCCATACGCATCATGCCTTCGGTAAAAGGGTTGAAAGTCGTGCTGGTCAAAGAGCCCCAAGTGCTCCTGAAAACCTTTGCGCTTTTGAATCTCGCTCGAGTTGTACGAGCTAAACATGCACGAGATGTAGGCCTCAGGCTTGGCCGTGGTCACTCCATGGGCTATTGCCACCAGATTCTCATTATGTCACGGTGGCATCGATGTCATCTCCGGCAGAAGGCCAGCCGATCTGGCCGATGGCCACCCTCTTTATTGGGAACCCAACTTTCTCCAACGCTGCATACACTGCGTCGAGCTTATGCGTGATGAGGTTGCTGACTCGGTCATTGAGTGAGTCGTCAAAGCTGAGCCGAAGGCCACAGTCCAGTCTCACGAGGCCACCGGCCCCGTACATGGAGTATGGGTAGATGTTGCAGAAGAACTTGGATTTGACAGAAGCCAGCCATGCCACCATTGGTAACATTTAGATGGGGTCGGAGAATTGGCCACTGGAAGGAAGGTAGGAGGTCGTGATAACATCGAAAGCGTGGACCGTGGTGACTTTAATGTGGCACAGGCGAATTCCGTCCAAGATCTAGTGCAGAGTTTTCATCGCCGGCAGGAGCAGTGCTGGTTTCGTAACTCTATTAGAGCTGAGCACCTCGTTTCCCACGATGCTACTGGAATTGAATGACAGGATGTTGCCATTGAATCAATCTCGGGGGACATTAAACTGGAGTGGGCTGTGGAAAACTCTTCATTTGCAATGCGGACGGACAATTGTATGGCGCTGTTAGTGAAAGCTAGGAGGTCTCGTTGTATGTGTGCTACAGGCGTACGCAGGGGATACCAACTTGTCGCAATCTGTCTACTTCTTGAAGTCTGCTGAGCATGTCGCCATCCAGACAGATTCTTGTCCTCGAATCTACAGTAAAAATGCACGTAGAGAATGACCGAATCATGACTATCCAGGAGAAAATAACTTTGACCTCTGCATCTGTAGAAATTACGATTCAATACAGCGAATTTACTTCTGTGACACGAGATTTCACATGTTACGACCCTCTGCATCCTCGAAGCCGTATTCACACGAACGAGAACAAGGTTCATCGTGAATTGAAGTGCCTCATTAAGATATTAAGATAAGAAATCAGATCATTAAATTCGACAAGCAGAGTTGAAGTTAGATGCAGACCTGCTGATTCAACGTTCGCTGTAACTGTTCAGAAGAGGACAAGAAACTTTATTTGCAAGATATGAGAGACGAGCTTCATGCTTGGTGCCATGAGTCCAGAGCCAAACTGAAATGAATTGCTCCGTCTATGTTGTTGGGGGTCTTCTCTGTGTGAAATCATGACTAATATGGTGTGTTGCGCCATGCTCTACCTGTTAGGAACCTAAACACATGAAAACCTCGGTCAAAACGTCCACAAAGCAGCGAACAAATACAGTGGGAGGATCGGCGATGGCACAGTAAGTTAACTGCTTGAGCGTCAAGCTTCAGCGAAAAAATATTTTTGACCGTTTGCTTTCAAACTTCGGTAATCATTCTCTGGCAAAACTGTGCAGACACTCTTCGCGTTTCTCAAAAGTACAAGATTTGATTGCCAATGCCTCGTTCAAGTCAGCTTAGGAGCACAGGTGGAAAGTTGGGCTCAAGGAGTTCCAGTGACAGTGAGAGCAGTGAAAAGTTTCGATATTGATTCTGGATACAGATTCACGATCTCAAAAAGCACATCCAATGCAGAATGTTGTGAGAATCAGCAAGTTTCCGGTCTTGGAGCAAACTGAATATGGGACATTGAAACTGTAAAGCACCTAGTTGGCGCGTAAAGTCGCGGTTCAGAAAGCTGTGGAACGATTCAATTCTTGGACTTGATCTACCTTGAATTGGCTGATGGTGTTGCCTCTTGTAATGTGAATTTAGAAGTGAATAATCTGTAACTCGCGGTTGCATCATCGTCGTTCAATCAATTGACGTTTACAATCGACTTCGCAAGGAATGTAGATGTTTCATACAATCCAGGAATAAAATACCTGGACTCCAAGATCGAGGCATGGTTTTGATCTTCGAAGTCGAGCATCAAGTTCCGAGTATGTTGTATACCTCGTTCTCTATGAGCATTGGAACAAAAATTGTCAATTACATGAGACTTGGCATCATTGTTTTCATATCCGCTGACATGAAGGTTAAGGTAAATTTTGCTCGACATGGAGCTTGATCATATTTCTGATCTTTCTTGTTCCTATATGCATCATTCAAGATATAATTTCAGCATAGTTGTTGATCATATGGTCCACGTTCGTGATTCGGGCAGATATGGGACATTGGCGCAACAGTACTTAAAAGGAATATGATGGTGAACGACATACCTTCTACATTGTTGTTTATAGCTTTCTGACAGCACGGGAATTTATTCTCCTGAATCCAGGTAGAGCTTTCCGTCCATATTTCAAAGGAAACTCAAAGAAGTAAAGGATATCATCTCTTGATGCATTTCTACAATCAACATTGTCCGTCGTACCAGACGTAACTCGCTCAAACACGTCCAGATCTCAGATCGAAATCATGCCGGGTTAGATTGCTCCGACGTTAAGTTATGTGGTTGTGATGTTACTTATTTTATTCAAGTAGGTGTACCATTGTCCATTATGTACCTTCGTGGAGCCGTTGTAACGAGTAGTGACGAATTTGTTACACAGAAATAGCCGGTAGTCGATTTTTCGATGTGGTAGTGGAATCATTCTTCTTATGCTCTATTTGGATTTACATCCTAGTGCATACAATATCATCTAAACAAATATTTTCAAGAGAGCTTGCACGCCTCATCAAGTTCTTCCACCGTCTTCAAAGAAAAATTACCACAAGTCCTTCACGGGAAAAAAATCCACATACTTCCGTTACCAATCTACAACACCTACAGTCATGGACATGAACGGATGTTGATCGAGTTGTGAGGGATGACGTTCAGGTCGACTGTCGCACCTCCTAGTTCAATTGAACATGGGCACTGGTGATGCCGGCGGTCAGCTTGATACGGCTGCTAACGGTGTGGTGGAAAATTCCAGAACCACTCGGGCTCGGTCTGGAATCTTGCTTTCGTCCTCTCGGAAGTAGATTCCTAATGAGGCATCTGCTGAGAACGCGGAAGAAATCTTCGAAAATTGGGGTGATACTTGTGGGCTTTGAATACAGCGAGATGAAGAACTCATTTTGAGCTCAGATCCTGAGCTTCAAATGAGTGGAGCCCTTTAGTTTTGTCTCTCATTCTCAGAGAACATTCTATGACTTATGAGTATCAGGTATTAAATACATTCGATTTGCTGAATAGCAAGTTAGGATATAGCATCATTGATGTTTGGTTTTGTTTCAACAACACGACGGATTACTCCTTTCGATCTGAAATTGCTCCAGCACCTTCATCGATTCGATCGATAATGTTAAACATGGTTTTTCTGCTTTCAGAAGCCAAGCGGATAGCGAGGATTCGATGCTCTGGTATGTATAGCCACTTTGGTAGTGCTCGTTTCTTGATTTGAAAAATAGAATCTTTTTTCTGGGAACATAGTCAACCAATGTGAAAAACTATTATGTTCGAGAACTGTAAAGCCCTTCTTTCGTAAAGGCAAAGAAGTGTGCGGAAATCCTAAAGCCATTTCTGGCCTTCGGCCCTTCGGACCAAAGAAGTTTCCCTCTCCCGTTGGTCGAGACCTCTTGCCCGCATTTGTTGATTAAGCGGAGAGTAACAGTCATCCTTTATTTGCTAACCTGTGAACACTGGTATCAGTATAGTACTCAATTAACAAGCCCTTGTGATGAATGCTGAGGTATATTATATGCACCCCGGGGAGGTCTCTAGATTTATTGAACAATGAAATGGGCTATGTTTGGATTGAAACTTGTATTATTAATTACGTCATGCTTTCAGCGTCCTGCTTCTAATTTCCCACTATGGTCTAGATCTGGTCCGTAGAAGACTCGAATAAAGTACGACATACAATGTCAATGTCAATGTTAATACTACATACAGCCTCTAGCGACTAGCTCGGCTCTCGTGCTGTAGCTTTAATTTTGTACTCCAGCGTTCCAGACATGGAAATCACACCAATTCATGTTTGTTTCGAAAGTCAAGCTCATGGACAACTTGACAACGACTTAAGCACGTCCGAAGATGCTACAGCCTTAGCGTCCCAATATGGAAAATGTGACAAGAAGCCGTCTTCAGCTGAAATATCTGTTGGGACACCGACTAGAGTTGCTTCATTGCGGTGACTACAAGGAAAGCTTCGAAGACTTTGACTCCAATCATTCAATCGTGCGTCAAGTACCTCATCCATAGGGCCAGATGGTCCTGTCGTCTTCCCAACCTGCTGCAAGAAATATCTTCACAGTTTATGATCTTAGGTAACTCAAGGGGAGGTTGAGATTGTAAAAGTCCTTACGGCCTCCGTACTCCGTTAGACGCTCATAAAGTGAAGTAGTAAGAAACCTCACCTTCTTCAGCCGAAATTCTCCCATTTATGTGGAGAATGCTCAGGCCATTCTCCACGTAGACGGAGATCATTCCGCGCATGCCGCTCAGAATTCCAGCAGAGTTTTCGTATTTATTTTCTCACTATTTCATTTTTTCCCTCATATTCAATGACTCAAAATAATCATAGGTAACCTCATAGTCATCTCAATTTTAGCCACTAGCACTGTCCTTGTATTCAAAAGTCTGGGTCCAGATTGGAGAGGCCGAGTCCTGTCCGTAAGGCTCGGGAGAATTTTGATTAATATAAGGGCAGATTAGAAAATATGTGCAGTTTCTCACCGCCTCGACCATTGCCAATATACCATTATCCTTCACTTTTCATGGCTTTCATTAAAACTCGTATACGGTAACAGCGGCGTCTAGAGGCTTTCAGGTTTATAAACACTTGCAGGTATGGCAGCCGAACGTAGTGGCCGTCTACTACTGAGGGAGTGCTTACGTATGTCCCGGAAATTTCAACCTGCCCAAGTCCTAGACGAGAGTACTCGCTTTGAAGATGTGACATGGGCCACTCACCTCAGAGTTGAAATCGTAACTGGGGTAACTTCCAATTCATCAACTTCTGGCATGTCCATACAGTTAGCACTTATAAAGTATAAAATCAGACAGGTGGTCAAAGCTTGCCATGTGAAAAGCTCCGGACCTCAGGTGCAAAGGTTAGACTGGTGACTTGGATTCTCTGGTTGCTGATTCGAGACAACTGAGACCTTTGTAGATTGGAGCCGACAGATGCTTGCGTCACAGGAGTTCCTTGAGAATATTATCCGAAAGTATATGACAGCTCAGCCAGATTTCATGTGACCACAACAACTTTCACTGGCTTCGACCCGCCGGTTGTCTCTCGATGCGTCCTTCAAGATCAAGCCCTAGGTCACCAAAACTCAGGGGTATTATGTAGAGCGAGATGCTCTCTAAAGAGTAAAATAACTGTTTTAGAATTTTTTTAAAGTAGCGCATGCAAGATCTTGGTAACTGAAGATCATATGGTACAGAGTGGTGGTTGGTCGACTCT